TGAAACCAACTCCCAGACAGCCCTGCATCCCAACGACACTTCAAGGTCACTGTTAATTGCTGTTTATAATTCTGCTAGAACGGCACCAACAGAACCCACTCCCGATAACGTTATGCAATACTTCACGCGCACATTTCGAAACCGTGCACTTCATACTAAGTTCGAAATCGCTTAAAGATTGAACTTTGCTCGTACAACTATACGTCACTAGGAATAGACTTTGTACAATACCAATATAAATCCGTATAAAGTTGTCACGTTTTCTCCTTCTGCATACGCTGCCACAAAGCAAATAAGCGGAGCGAGTAGGCTCTCAAATGTAAAGTCCTCGGCGAAAGTACTGAAGCGTCGGCCGAACCGCTGTAATTCAAAGAAATTAACAGACTGCTGAAAGTATCGTTTCTGAGGCCGAGAACCACAAATGTAGACGTTTACCCACCGAAAGTAAGTAGCAACCATATAGGCATGAATTTCAAAGGGGAGGAGGTGGGAGACGGTCACATTTCAGTCGTGCAACGTGACCCTTGGTCCAGAGAAGCGAGTTCTCTAGGTCATAGAAGTAATTAAGAAGCCAGTCAAGCTTCGCATAGTTAAAAACGAATGCTCTCTCGCAAAAGTTACAAAGTCCCCATCCAGGAGAGAGGCCGGTCGCAGTGATTGGCGCGGCTGCGACCAGCAAAACTTCGTGGAGCCCTGACGACGTCTAACCGATTGGGGGGGGGGCATGGTAGGGTCACCAACTCGAACAGCTTATATGAGATCCGTGCCGTCCTCCGTGGATGGCTGGTACATTCTGCGGAAACCAGATGGTGATGTAAGACAAGAACGGAGGGTTTTTTTGGTCTTGCTTAGCAGTGCGTCCGGGCCCACTCCCCGTCGTCCTAGACCACCTCGGGAGGTTTTGACATTGACTTGCCATCGGGGCCTCGTGGATGGGGGCGAGAGAGTGCGGTAGACGCTGCGCAAGTCTACTACCACCATAAACTAATTCACACACATGTTATCAGTGTTGCGCCCAGCACCAATCAACCAAAGTGATACAATCTCCCCTAGCGGGTTAGGTACAACTCAAGAAGCACAAAATTGTATTGGTCTAACGAGAGGCGAGGCTAGCAGTGTCAGTTAAATCAAGTACCGACAGCTCGACCGTCGTTGCCGACGATGTCCACCGTGTGCTCAGCAGCAGGGTGAAAGCAGAGACGGTGACTTGCGTGTGGTCATCCCTTCAAAATGCAGAGGAAGCTGGCTCATTCGGACGTCCGACGGAACGCCTTCTCTCACAGGGTCATTGCGGCATGGAACGGACCCCCTGATGCGGTGGTTCTTTCCGAGACTGTCGAATCCTTTAAGTGTAGACCAGATGCTCATTTGCTGGTAAACTACCGTACATATAACCACGATTGTTTTAGCGGCGGCAGTTTGCGCCTGGCTTACGCTTACCGTTAACTTTTGAATTTCCGCATTTGCTGATGTAATTGATGATTCTATTTCTATGAATAGAGAGCTCAGGGGCTAAAGCCTCATTCCCTTAATAAACTGACTTATTATGATTATAGACTTGTTCAGCACCTGCCGTATTCTACCCCTGCTCCTCCCCCACCCGGAACGGAGGCGGGAGAGGACGCAGACGACTGGCACGTAACCAGTCCATTTTCACCCAGTTTTAGGTCGGATATCAAGAGAGCGAGGGAGAGAGAGAGAGAGAGAGAGAGAGAGAGAGAAGAAGAAGAAAGAGAGAAAGACAAAGAGAAAGAGAGGGCGTGTGCATAGAGAAGGACGCATTGAGTGCACAGACCTGAGCCATCATGTCTACGAGAGGTCGCAGAGTCAGATTCTTCCCGGGACCGTCACGCAGGTAGTGCAGCAAACTGCCGTGCGGCATCAACTCCGTAATGATGAGGATGGGGTCTTCGATGCACACTGCGTACAGGCGCACCAGTCGGGGATGCCGAG